ATGTTATGAATCAGTACTGGTTTTTAAGCTGCATTAAAAGAGCCTAAATTCTCATCACTACTCAAACTAGGACGCCCACTGTAAGAACGTTGATTGACCCACATGGTGACATATCACTGACATGATGTACTAATGAGTAATAGAAAACTGGCCGCTGCCCATGTCGTCCATATCTAACTCCGGTTCTCGACTCACCTGGTTTGGGTTTGGGTTTGCGACCAGGTTTCCCTTTGATCTTCGGAGCCGTCTCCTCTGGCTTCGTTCCGGCTTCTTTTCCCTCTTTGCTGCATTTGCGGACTCTCCTCCTGGAGCAGCTGGTCACGAGCAGCGCGGGGGACGGCTCAGCACCTGGAGCGAAGCAGAGAGCCGGCAGCTTTTATGGTTTAGCTCGAGAATCTTACCTACATGCTTAGAGACTGAGGAATTCAAGTTTCTTAACAAGGAAAAAACTAAATCAACGTCTGTTTGACAGAGCTCATTTCCTCTTAAAGATTGGAAGTGTTTTGGAATCACCTTAGTTCCATTAAAGGATCAACTTGTAATGTTCAGAAATCAACAACAGAATCTAAAAACACAGCGAGGTGTTTTGAACTCAATACATATTTTTATTTTAGAGAGTAAAGTACTTCATGTTGTTTCTCTACTTTTGGAAACTCAGTGTGTTGAAATGGACACTCGTGAAGCCTGAACAAGGTTTAAGTTCGGGTAAACATCTACACACCCACTTAGGAAGCATTTCAGAGACACACACACACACACACCAAGGTAATGCACTCGAATAGCTGCATGTTAGTAGCACTCTACTGGGAAAACACTTATGCTAAAACCATCAATACACACACACAGACACACACACGCTCACAGTGTTCATTGCGTGATTTAAAACCCAGCGGTGACGGTAAAATGAAATCTATAAAATGTATGATCGTGTGCTCACAGTGGATCTTGTAGTCGGGCGGCAGCAGCCTGATGTGTGAGAGGGGGATGCGGCCTGTGTCGCCATCGTCAAACTCCACCGTGATCAGATCGTCATTCTCGTCAATATCTGAACTTCCTGTTTTGGGTGCAAAGAAAATGAGCAGTCAAGCAGCGAGCGTTTGATTTTTGACACACTTGGCAAATAAAACACCTTGTGTCCATAATGTGTTTTGATTTTTCACACCCAGTTATTCGTGGTCACTGCAGCAGAGTTCACTCAACTCAAAGTGTTCAATAAGTTCCATTAGCATGCGCCTCTTCAAAATAAGAGCCTCTGCTGCATTACACACTGATAAGATATTTTCCTTTGTCTGGGCTGCGAGTTACAATCAAATTGTCCATGTGAGTGGATTATGAATCATATCATGAAAGTCGTGGGTGTGTTTGTTTTGTGTGATGTTGTTGCTGTACCATTGACAACAGTCCCGGGGTACAGGCAGCGGTATTGCTGGCTCCAGTACGCAGCGATTCGAGTGCCCTCTGGGAGATAGCGCACGGACGGAGGCTTCACATCGATGATCTGCACGCAAGGAATGAAGAGCTCATAAATGTCAGCGCAGCACGGCATCGAACACTCGTGCGCACACATTCTTCCACATGACACACAACATTTTTCTAACTGCTTGAAGTGGCTCAGCGGAAACAAAGACAGATGAGGAGGACGCAGAAGAATATGTGAGAGACATGTAGTTCACTCACAGCTTCCTGCAGCAGTTGTTCCAAGCAGTAGATGTGTGGTCGGTTTCCTCTCTCTCCCTCCACCACCACGCTGTATCTGCAGGGAGGAATCATCCGAGAAGAGTAAGGGCCAAACGTCTGGGGTCAGTGTGAAAGAGCTCATGCTTTTTATGATAGAACCTAAAGTCACTTCTGAGTTCTGTGACGTGAATCAAACTATCCCCCAGAGTAACTTGAGCTTCCCCACATGTACGACCTGTGCAGCGACCTGTTAAAATCCTTATTGATGAGCTGTGCATATGAAAAACTGAACAGGACTGGCAGCAAACCAGCTTTTGTTTTTTTTATCTGCTAAAATGCACCTGGCTACTTCACAAATCGAGGACAGCAAACTTTGCAGGACGCAGAACTGGAGCACGCTGATTGATTTGCAGCTTTTAATAGAGTAAACAGATGTGACTTTCCTCTATTAAAGGCTGCAAATCAATCACGGTGCTCCGATATAAAGGTTCAGCGTCTGTACTCACATGTCAGGGGAGTGCACCGTGTTCACGTGTCCGGCGTACAGCAGCTGGTCGTCCATCGGGATCAGAACTCTGAGTCCATCCACCAGAGAATCCTTATCCAACACACACTGCACCGGAGCTGAACACAACAACATGCATGATAAGAACGCACATAATAACTTGCGTGTGTGTAAGCACAGGCAGCGTGTGTGTGTGTGTGTGTGTGTGTGTGTGTGTGTGTGTGTGTGTGTGTGTGTGCTGACCGGGTTCGGAGGACCTCTCTGATACACTGTGGCTGCGTGGAGGGACAAGTTCGTCTTCGCTGAAGCTGCTGTCCTGGTTGGGCTCGAAGTCTTCGTCTGCCGCCATGCTCTCCATCAGCCGGCTCACCGCTCCTCTGGAAGGCTGCAAAAAAATAAAATTAGGGCTTGAATTTCCCTCACAAGCAAGACTCTATAGAAAGGAAGGAAAAATCTGATAAATATTAGTTTATCTTCAAAAAGCAAACATGGCCTGTAAGTGAAATCTGTCACCTGCCTGAGGCCTGAACCTGACATTCTGCATGACTGATGCTGCTACTTCGGTTTCATTTGCGGCAGAACACCAAGCTGCCAGGTCGACACGCCACGTATCGACTTTTCAAAAGGACACAGCGACATATTACAACACTTACGCTGTTGCATTACACACATTTTTTTTTCCTGCTGTTTCACCACCACAAAGAGCCCTGCACACACTTCAGCTGTTTTCAAAACAAACCGGAGTTGTGGCCGGTGGCAGATGGAGAGCCATGCAACACTTTGGCAGAAATCACACAATAAAAGAGGTTTGACAATAAAACAGAACAGCTTTGATTACAGGAGTCAGTTCATCTCTCCAGAATTTTGTGTTCCTGTCTTGAGTGTGTGTTTGTGCACATTAAGGTCTAATAACTAAAATGTTCTGTTGCCTCGCTTTCCCAGGATAATTAGGTTCACACCCATAATGGCTCCGCAGCTGATCCATCATCACACTGACCTCTCTGGTCTTGCTCTTGGCTTTTGGTTGGCTCTTGCGCGTCGGGCTGAGGCCCAGCGGCACGGGGACGTCTGTGATTGGACTGCACAGGGATGACGGGCTCACAGGCAGAGGAGAGTCCTTCAGCTTCTTTTTCTGGTTTTTAAAAAGTCACAAAACGTGCATATGAATTAATGGGCACATTAAAGATGTGCTGGACAGATTCACTCACACACACTCACACTCACACACACACACACACAACTCACACTCTCACTCACACTCTCACACACACTCACACTCACACACACACACACACACACACACACACACTGGTGGGATTTTGCCAGGCTGCCTGCAGTTGTCCGTCCTTGTCAGCTACACGACACAGACAGCAGGGGAGTGCTGCAGTGACTGAAGTACTGGGAAACCCTGCTGGCACTTTGACACAAACACTTAAACATTCTCTATCTCTATCTCACAGATGTCAGAGGAGAAAAAAGAAAGCGATGGAACCAGAGTTTAAAGTAGAAGTGAGAGCACAGGGAGCTGGGAAAGATTTGACTCACTTGGTGAAAAACAATTAAAGATAAATTATTGACGTACTTTCACCACGTCTTTGCTGGGCGGAGTGGGTTTGGGTCTGGGGGCGGGCTTTGGGGTCAGAGGTGGGCCTGAGCTGGAGGATGAGGAGGAGGAGGAGCTCTGACTGACAGATCCAGGGCCTGACACAGACATCTGAGTCGCTGAGGTGGTGGCGTCATGGAGGAAAATCCTCTCGCTGCGTCGTCGGCTCCAGGCCTCGTCCTCGCTGAAGCCTCCGAACCCGTGGCTGCTGCCGAGGTCGAAGCTAAATCTTCGGGGCGATCTCGGCGAGGGGCGGGGTTTGGGCAGGGGCTTGCGTTTGACTGGCGCTTCATCTCGCTTGGTGGGGCTCGTCTGGTCAGTGCGCCGGGTTGCAGGGGGCAACAGCGGCAGCTCTGGGGCGGAGCGTTTTCCGTGGAGCAGAGAGGGGAACTTCCTCAAACGCAAGTCTGAGCCAGAGTCTGACCACTCGTACTCTGAGGAACCTGACGGAGCGAAGAGGAGAGGGTCACTGGAGACCTCACTCCACAGGGTCTATAAGTCAAACTGGTCCTCACAAAGATAGGACACACACAAACACAGATCCTAGGGATAAAACCCAGCTGGTCCCATAAACATGCAGCCAGTAATAAACTGAGGTGTTAGATTTTCTCAAATCAATAACACAGTAAATAGGACTATTGATCAAATTGAAACTAATACATAATTTAAGTCTGAATCATTACATGCACCCTGATGTGACAATTACAAATTAATGAATATTTAACCATGAATCAATAACATAATCCTCAACAAATGCTCAGATGGTGAACCTGCTGAACCAATTTTCACGTAATAAAGTGAGAAGTCCATATCCCTTTTTGTACTTTTGCACAAACCCTGCTGTGATGCTCAGCCACACACAACTCATTTGTGTCTATCATGTTTTTACCCAGAGTGCTTTGCCTGCTGCGGTGTTTGCCGTCATGGAGGAGGCTCAACGGGGCCGAGCTGACGGGGATCGCGTTCGCTGCAAACCTGGCCAGCATACCCAGCCCGCTCTCCTCGCAGCCGCCATCATCTGAATCGGACTCCTCCTCGTCATCTTCGTCCTCTGAGGTTCCTGTTTCAAAGAGAAGATTTGGGTCAAATTCAAATCATATCCTGTTGCTTCTGCTGAGTGCAGGACCCAAAGAGGAGATACATCAACAAACGAAACACAGCCAACTTCTCCTCAGACAAAGACCGGGATAATCCCTGTGTGAAAAGGAAACAGCCGTCTGGATCTTACACACACACATCACACACACATCACACACACACACACACACACACA